TTTAAACCTGGCTAGAGGAAGAGGCTCTTGGCCTGAGAAATTTCCCTGTCCCACAAGGAAAGTTCCCTTTGTGATGCATATTGAAAGCAGATCACAGACTCTGAGACTAACAGGGACATTAGAGATCATCCAGGTCTACATTTTCTAAATGAAGAAACCCAGATTCGGATAGCAAAATGACTAGCAGCCAAACTGGGTTTGAGACTTCTTCCCTGATTCTCAGTTCCGTGCTTATCTTTCTAGTTCACAGTCACACAGTTGACTTTGGCTGACTCCTCCAGGTTTTGGAGAGTTTATAAGGAGGAAGAGGGACAGTACTTGGGGACTTGGTTAATAGTTGCCTAGGGAATTGTGTCTTGCAAAGCCACCAAAGAAATCAGCAGAGAACTGGGGCAGATCCCAATAACTCTAGTCATGTTGCCTCTTCCTTAGGTTTACCCATTGGGAGACTAGGTAGGGGGACTGGCACTAGGGTTTGCACTGCAATGGGAATGTCAGTGTGTGTGTTTTCCACCCTTCTCCAATTTCCTGGAGTCCTTGAAGGAGGTCAACTGATAAGGGGTTTAGCAAAATGACTTTTGCCACCTCCCTAGTCTTTTTCCTTTGTACAACCCAGTAAACTGGAGTTGGATTGTCTTTACCTACAAGGATTTAAGCCATACCCAGTAGACGCATAATGAGAAAGTCAATTCAGAAACCAGGAGTGGACTTTCCCCAGGGCTGACAATGATTTATCTTAGCTGGCATTTTGTTCTGGGCAGGGAGGGCCCAATGTAAACAGCATGTGTTATTGGTTCTAGGGAGAGAAATGGAAGAGCCTGGACACTATTTGTTGGGTGGAGGAAAAGGACTCCTAGTTGTGCTTTTTAGCCATTGATAACCATGGTCAGATTAAACAATTCTTAGAAAACTTTCTGTGTTTTAGGAACTGTGATAGGTCCTGAAGCCCACACATAAATAAGATGCAATCCCTACCTCCAAAGAACTGTACACGAACCCAACACTGACAGGTTTAATAGAAAATGGTCAGTGATGAACCCTGGAAGTTACAGAGCCCAGAACGGGAGTATGCATCGCTCCAGCTGGGATTCAGAGAAGGCTTTATAGATGACACCCAAATAAAGGATTGAGCCAGGAAAGAAAATTCCAAGGCTCAAGGGTGAAAAGAACCACTTGAACAAAGATGTGGAATCTGGGTATGGGAAACACAGGCAGTTGATGGTGTTACTAGAGCAGGAAGAATGACATGGAAAGTACAAGAAGATAAGACAAAGAGTCAGGTGTTTGGATGGTAAATTATGGGAAAGAAATAGTCTTTATTTTGAGCAGGGAAGTGGGAAGTTCTTGAGATCTGCAGTTTTGATTAATTGCTACATTGTAGATTTGGGATAGAACAGCCAAGAATGGAGGCAGGGAAGCACCTGGAAGAGGTCATGAATGCTATGTGGATGAAAGGCATGGACTGGAAAAACAGCCAGGAGGTGAGCAGTGATGAAGATATGGTGGGTAAGAGATACAAATCTCTGGAGGCTCCCAATTTCCAGCTTGTGCATGGGTGAGACATGGAGCCATGAACAATGGAGACAGTGAAGGGAAACAAGTCTGGAAGAGTGATGTAGATGATGGCTAACCTTTATTTATCACTTATATGGGCCAGGCATTGGACCAAGAGCTTTCATGCATTTTCCCTTAACTCTACGAAGTAGATAGTACTATTCTCAATGTGTAGATTAGAAAATGAAACTGTGAGATACTGAGTGGCTTGGCCAGATCTACACAGCTGGTAGTAGTAGAAAAAGAGTTAGAATCCAGGCATTGGTGCTCCAGAACAATGCTGTTAACCACCAGGTGTGGGTGTAGGTGAAGAGTCTGAAGAGCTGAGAGGCACCTTCAGTGGAGAGATCTAGGCACAAAGATGTCCTGGGGTCCACAACATGCCAAAAAACGTGAATGTGGATAAGCTTACAAACTGAACAGTAACCAAAGCATAGTGCCCTGAGGAACCCTGAAATTAAAGAAGTAGCCAGAGGGCAAGGGGCTCACAAACGAGACTAAAACAACAGGCTCCTCTGAGTTTTAGATCAGAAGACAAGACCACTATCTGGGCAAGAGAAAGCTGGGTAATTTCAAACAGCGGTGTCAAATACTTTCACCAAGTTAAGAGGACATATTATTATGGTTACTATGTTGCATAGTAATTATCCTAGACAGTAAGCATTTTACATAAACAGCAATAATTAGTAGAGCACAAGTTTCCCAAATTGTGTCCTGTGGAATAGTAGTTCCTGGAGATGTTAATAAATGTTTGGATAAAAAAAATGTTTTTAGTCATGTTTAGGAAATGCTGGTACGATTTAGACAGAAACCAAACCCGTTTTACACTTTTGTTCTTTGTTAGGAGGCAGCATAGTGCAATAGCTAAGACTGTAGTCACTGGAAACAGCCTGGGCATGAATCCTGCCACTGACAAGCTGGATAGCTTGGGCAAGTTACTGAACTGCTCTAAGCTGACAACTGCTCATCTAAACATTCACTTCAATAGATAATTTTGGGGGTTGAATAGAATGTACTGCATTTGAAATGCTTAGAATAGAGCCTGGAACAGAGTGAGGGCTCCATAAAGGTTAGTTATTATCAAAAAATCATATTATTATTATTATTTGCTGCTTGGAATGAGCTCAGGGTCTTCAGCATGTGAAGCAAGTGCTCTACCACTGACATAAATTACTAACTCCAGCCAGGTGCTGGTGGCTCATGCCTGTAATCCTAGCTACTTGGCAACTGAAATTGGGAGGATTGCAGTTTGAGGCCACCCCAGGCAAATAGTTCTTGAGACACCATCTCCAAAATAGCCAGAGCAAAATGGACTGGAGTAGCGGCTCAAGTGGTATAGTGCCTGCTTTGCAAGTGTGAAGCCCTGAGTTTAAACTCCATCCCCAACCCCCCCACCAAAAAAAAATCCTCAACTCCAAATCTCTCTCTCTCTCAGTCTCAGTCTCTCTCTCTCTCTCTCTCTCTCTCTCTCTCTCACACACACACACACACACACACACACACACACAGATACCCACATTTCTGAAAAATCAAGTCTTGGCTCTGACTTCTGTTAGTTGAAGTTCTTAGTCCCTTATTTCCGCCCCACTACAATTCACAATGGGGAATAACTGAGTTCTTTTCCTACTCTACTCCAGAGAAGGGAAGCATGGAGAACATGGCCTTAGAAGGGCCACTGCTAGCTCATAATCACCTTTGTGCATATTTTCAAAAGGTCATTTGGTTGAACATTGCCCTGGACCAGGGCACAGAGCTTAGCAAGTGGATTGCAGGCTATGTTTTAGACCCCATTTGTTCCTTTGGTTGGACGTCCTTGGGCAGTGACTATCTGTGTGACAATACACAGCAGTTCTGGCTTTCAGGATTTGGAAGGGGCTGAAAGCTAATTATTAGTTATATAAGAGGGTACTATACTAGCTCTGTTTCTCCAAGTAGTAAGATTTGCTCTGTAAAAGCCATAGCAGATAAACCATCCTTCCTCAATCCCCACATGTGCCCCACCCCCCATTCATTTACACTGAGGCTGACATCAGAATACCCTTTATGTGAAGGGATACCCCAGGCTTTGCCTGTTTCTTTGGAATCCCTTATTGAGGATGGGAAAATACAGAGTTGTAGAAAGCAGCACCCAGAGGGTTTTTTCAGGTTTCCAGGCTTCCCTGACACATAACAAACTGTTATGATGTTCCCAACCAGAGCAAATCTGACTTCCTGACCACGGTTCAGGGAAGGGAAGGAAAAAAGATGGGCAAGGGAGCTATCCTTGGCAGCTTGCTAATCCCCACTGTGTGGACAAAATTCCTTGTTCCCAGTGAAGTCTCTTTATAGGTAGACACTTCATGAATGACACAGTCTACAACTTTAAAAGCAGGCACTTCTTGGAAGTCTTTTCTGGGGATGGATGGGGTAATGTATAGGACAGGCATTCCTGATGTGCACATACATTCAGACAGAGTTGCCTGGATACACCACCTTTCAGCCCACTAGCCGAATCTATTCTAACCTGAGGACTCTTTCTCTGAAGCTTTGTACTGTCTATAAACTGAGATATGGATGGAGTGATTTTTAAGGCTCCTCACAGCTTTGGTTCACACATTTTAGGGGTTCTGTTCACTTCCCTCTAGTGTTGTCTAACCGGACAGGTGGGAAAAGCTGACAGGACATAGCTTTACTCTCACCTCTATCCCAAAAGGACTCCAATGTCTTCAACCTACAAGACAGCAGAGGCCTGTTTTCCAAAGACAAAGCAACCCACTTACAATTTTGCTTAGGGTCTGCCTCTATAACTCTTGAAGATAAACACTGACTAGGGCCCCAGCTGGGAGTTAAGTCTTGAGGCCTTCAGATTCAGGAACAAAAGGCTGAGCTGGAGGGGGAAGGGAGCTTCCTAGAATGTGAGGAGAGGGAAGCTCAGGATTGCCTGTTTCTCTACTTCCCACAGATTTGAGAGGGGCCGGGGACAGTGGGGTAGCCTGTCTTTTCTTCTGAGGCTGGTGACTTCATCTCCTCTCCTGCCATTCCTTAAGGTTGGGATTTGGACCCCTTCTTCATCAGCTCCCTGGGTCTAAAATCTCCATTCCTTTCTTCCCTTTTTTTCCTTGGGATTGGGGTCCCACGCCCCTCTTCTCTCCTGGGCCTTGCCTCTTTTAAATTCTTTTCAAGCCTGGCCTCTCCAGTCCTGGGAGAAGGGGGTCTGCATTCTTTTTTTCTCCTCTTAAGGCCACAGCTCCCTCCCCACACCCTCTCCAGCACCTCCTCCCCTCCTCCTCCCTCCGCCCCGAGGCATTGTGGGAGGAAACAAGATGTGGGGCGAGAGCGGCGCGGGGAGAAGCCCGCAGTGCGGGGCCGAACGGGCGCAGCCAATGAAGAGCGCGGACGGCGGCGCGCGCGGCGGGGGGGCGGGGGCGGGGCGCTATTTCAGCGGGGGCCGCGCGTCGGCCGCGCTCAGCGGCGGAGCGGAGCGGAGCGGCGAGGCGCCAGCGCAGAGCAGGCGGGCGGGCCGGCGGCGTGAGGCGGAGCGCGGGCGGCCGGGGGAGCTCGGAGAGCGGACGGCGGCGCGAGCGCTCGGCCCGGGCTGCGGGAGCCGGACACCGCGGCGGCAGCGGCTGCTGCAGGACGAGCCCAGGGGACACCGCCCCTGCCCGCGCTCTGCTTCAGCCCATCGCTGCTCCCCAGGGGCCCGTGCGGACTCGCCTCCGTGAAGGTGAGCGGTGGGTGCGGACGTCCTCGGGCGGCGGGCTTGCGTGCAGGCCTTGGCCGTGGTCTCCTCGCCCTATGCTGGTCCGCGCGCCCCCGGCGCCCCTCCTTGCCTGCGCAGCGCCGGCTGCGCCTCCCTGTGCTCTGGCGACCCTCGTGGCGCCGCGGGAGGCCTGGGGCTGGCCTCGGGCTGCGGAGCCACTGCTCCCGCACCCCGGGGAGCCTCCCTGCGCAGCGTGGAGGGCTCTGGTGCCTGGGGCCGGGGGAGAGGGGGTGGAGAGGGCTCGGGCGTGACGCGGCTCCTCCTGCCGCCGCCACCCTCTGGGGTGTCCTTCCTGCGGCGAGGACGCCCAGTCACTCCGGCGCAGCTCCAGGCCGGGCGGGGGAGGGCAACCGACTGGCCGCGGCCTGCGGACCTGGCCCGGCTGGGAGGGCGGAGGTGGGGAGGGGGTTGCTTTCCCGTTCCTCAGGTGCTGCCCTTCGGGGCCGCAGCCCTTGGAAGGACAGGATGGCAAAGGGTACGGCCCCCTTGGAGATCCGTAGAGAGGAAATAACCTTCGTGTGTGTTGGCAGTGGGGAAGGTGGTCCATGTCATTCGGAGGCTTAGTCTTTTTTTTTTTTGGTCGCAAAACCGGGAGCTGTCCTGGAGTGCCCCTGTTGCTTTTCAAAGGAGCGCCTGGCTCGTGACTGAGGCAGCTGGCTTGGGGCCCTCTGGCCATCCGTCTATCTGGAGGCCGAGGTCCCTTGCTCTTTTTTTTTTTTTTTTTTTTCGCAGGAGGGAGGGGCCAGGCCGGCATCTCTCTTTGCTTTTCTCACTGGCACCTTGGACAGGGGTGGTTGGGGCTGCACCTTACTTTTCCGACGCCTGAGGGGCCAAGGGTGAAGAATCGTGGCATTGTAGTCACAAGACCAGCATTATGTAATTGCAGGCTCCCTCCTGGAGGGTAAGATGGCTTTTAATTACTGTGACAAAGTTGTTCTTTGGACTTGGGGATGAGGCAGGGGAGTAGGTGAGCTTGCTGGCAAAATGGTGCCAATTTCAGACTTGGTTGTCTATAACCCGGCCCCACCCCCACCTATGGATTTGTAAACAGTGCCCCCTTCTGAGTGATAACCTGGATAGGCCACCAGGTGACACTGTATTTCTTCACTTACAAAAAGCCTTATCAGATACTGTTGTATTACCTTTGCTCAAAACTAGTTGATGTTGCCCCATTTATCTCATTTCACCCATTGGTTTTTAAAATGAAAGTAAGTGTTTGCCCAAGGTCACATGCTAGTCAGGCCTTGAACTGGGTTCTCCTGACCTTTCCTCAAGCACCAGGCAGTGCTCACTCTTGTTGAGGCACTGATTTTTACTGGAGTGTAGAGGGGATAGAGGTTGCTGATCCATTAACCCTTTGCTCTGCCTCTGTCTGCTGAAGTGAAACCAGCCCTGCTTAGTTTGGCAGTGCCAGACATGGTGCTGCCTTGGATGCCATCAGGGCTGCCTGGCTGGCAGCTGGCATGCATGCATTCTGTGCATTTGGTGCAGGCTGAATAATGGCCTTGACTTCTTTCTCTTTCAGCTCATCTAGCCTACAGGTTAGAGTTGACTTAGGTCAGAGTGTCCTGGACTGATAATAAGGACCTCTCCTTGAGCAGACAGGTTTCTATGTAGCCTTATGTCATGGACTGTCAGACATGGACTGACAGCATCTTTTGTCCATTGGGCTGGGTGACAGAGTAGGGGAATTGTTACTGCTCTTTGTGATGAGACTGGTCAAAGACAGAGGGCAGGATTTTGCAGCTCATTGCCTCTGTTCCTGCAAGGTCTCTCACATGCTGTAGACACTAGGCAGTTCCTGGCTGGCCTTCTTGGGATTCCTCTCCAAGGAGGGTCTACCTCAAAACTCTGATTGCTGCAGGCTGAATGCCATGGCCCACCCAGGTAGCAGGGGTATAAAGCAGGGCTGTTAAATAATTCTTCACCTTTCTCAGGTACCTTTTAAAAAATTCTTATCTCCAGATTTTTCCCAATCTTATGTTTTTATTTAGGAAAAAGGAGGTCTCAGCATTCCTATAATAATAATAAGATAGCCCCCCTCAAAAAAAAAAATACCTTTCACTTTATCTAGTACTTCCATACTATTAGGTACTTTTTGAATGAATGAATAAATTTTACATGAGGAAGCAAAAATCTAGAGAAATGACAAATCTTTGGAGCTGTGTCCAAAGCGTAGAGATTTCAAAAATTGTAGTAAGCTTTAAAGATTGGACATCCTTGTGAGGAAAGTAGGGAAGGATATGATGTGATGGCATAAATGACAGCTTTTCCATCTCTTGGGGGCATGTACCTAAAAGAAGGTTATTATCTTCCCCACTGGGCCTTCGTGGCCTAGAATGTATGCTAATCCTTTTTGGTAGTATAGAACAGAGGTTGGAGCTTTTTTCAGTGAAGGGTCAGCTAATAAATATCTTAGGCTTTGTGGGTCTCTGGTAACTATTCAACTTTACCATTATAGCATGTTCATACAAAAACAGGTGGTGGCCCAATCTGGCCCGTGTGTAGATTCTTCTTGTTTGTAGATGCTCTCATGTAACCATAATTCTTTTAACAACCCCCAATAAGAGAGTTGACCTCATTGCCAAAATGGAGGTAATTGATACAGAAAGGCCAAATGACTTGTCCAAGACATAAGGGTTCAGAGTCAGGACCAGATGTGAGGGCTACTTTTGTGATACTAGTAATGTGGTCATTAAACCAAGGGCTTATTCTGTTTAGGTGTTATGCTACCGTTTTTATCCTCAGGACATGCCTGTAATCCTCATTTCACAGATGATGACATAAAAACAAAGGTTAAGTAACTTGTCCAAAGACACAGTTAGATGATATGTTGTGATATCATTTTGGCTATTAGTGTTGTTCAGAATATCAGAAAAAGACAGCTACTGATGACTGATGATTATGTCTTTTCTTCTACCTAACATGCATTTCCAAAGAATGGGGACTATGTTTCTGTTAAAAGCTTGGGAGCTTTCTTTCCTAATATCTCATATCTGTGTTTCATGTACTCCCACCTTCTATAGTCCCCTCTCCCATTGAGACCCCTACACCCAGCAGCTCATGTTTATTGCCTAGAGCGTAGCATTATCAGTTTCACCTTTCTCCTCCTACTGCAGTGTCACGATGTCTGACCGGAAGGCAGTGATCAAGAACGCAGACATGTCTGAGGACATGCAACAGGATGCCGTTGACTGTGCCACACAGGCCATGGAGAAATACAACATAGAGAAGGACATTGCTGCCTATATCAAGAAGGTATCCTGGGAGAGCTGTGACTTGTGGCAAAGAATAAAGATTGGCAACTGAGTGCACTCCAGGGAGGGCTAGCGTAGGGGATGTAAGAAAGCAAGTATATCTCATGCATACAAACCCTGGGAATTTACAAAGCAAACAAATTAGGGAGTGAGTTTGATTTGCCAAAGCATTTACCTTAGGAGTTCTTAATAGGAGCTGTGCTGGAGGTATGTGTAACTTCTACAGATAATTATGTGATTGCAAAACATTGGGGAAAAATGACTGTGTAGAGGAGCTTCAGAATTAAATATTACTGGCCCACTTCAGAGCCATTTAAAATTAAGATCAAGGATAAAGTCATGTACAATTTTCAGGGAGCTATACCATTTAAAGTGGGATATCCTTATAATCTCATGATGTAGGGAGTTTCCTGAAAAGGACTTAGGTACTTCATCGTTCTCTTTTCCCTATATTCTTAAGAAAAGGATGGGTTTGAATATATAGTCCCATGATTTCTACAGGGATCTGGATTCAGGAACCCCCTTGAAAACCAAAATCCACAGATGCTCAGGTACCTCATAAAATGGTCTAGTGTTTGGATATAACCTATACATACTTTTAACCATCTGTTTTACTTATAATACTTAATACATTGTAAATGATATTTAAATAGTTGTCATACTGTGTTGTTTAGGGAGTGACAGGGAAGAATACATGTTCAATACAGATGTAATTTTTTTTCTGAATATTTTTAATCCATGGTTGGTTGACTCCATGGATGTAGAACCATGGATACAGAGGGCTGACTGTATAATTTTTTAAAATTGGATGGTAAACATTGGGGCGATAAATTTGGTTTCTGAAAAATTCTTAGGTGAATGGGTAAATGGAAATGGCTAACACTGAAGAAGAGCTGAGCCAGAAGTACTAAGAAGGTATCTAGGCCCCCTGATTCCTAACCAGGACCCCTGTTCACTAGAGGCATAGTCTCAGACTTTGAGCATTTTGGCTCTGTCATTCCAAGAAGGGTGCATGTGAGGAGTAGTAGTCTCATTCTTGTCAGTAGGGTGTTTGGAGGGTCTTCTGGAGTTTTACAGAACTCTTGTTTTCCTACCTATGTGGGTGGGATGAGAAGAGGAAACTGGAGTCCTGAGAAACTTTTGTGTATATGGAGCCAGAGGTTACAGACCAGTGGGGATAGCAGCTTCTTGTTGAGTCATGGTCTTGCCGTCATGAACAGGGAGAGAATGTAGAAACATAGACTCTCAGAGCCAGAAAAATCTGGTCCAACTTTCTTGTTTATGGGGAAAATGAGACCCAGGGAATTAACTTTGGCACTCCCATAGAGTCTAGATCCAGGATTGAAGTTTCCTCTTTTCTTTAATTCCTCTTGGAATTGTGTGGTATGGACACTGAGGAGTCCACGCAAGTTCTAATATAGTACCCTGTGGGACCGAGAGCCCCAACATTGGCAGCATTGATGGATCCATTGTGGAGGGCTGTTGCTCTTTCACAGTCATGGCAGGATGCATCTAGAACTAAGGTTGCCTGCAAGTTGAGCTGCAGCGTGGTAGGGAGCTACTTATTTAATTAGCTTAAAGGGATTTCCTGGATATTTTTGTGCCTCTGGTAGAAGTGAGGCATGGGAGGTGCTTGTGCTTGTTATGGTGCATATAACCCACATGATGCTTGGCACATTGGATTGCCCTTTTTTTTGTTTTTTTTTTGTTCTACTCAGGTTTGAACTCAGGGCCTACACCTTGAGCCACTCCACCAGCCTTTTTTTATGAAGGGTATTTTTTCAGATAGCCCTTAACCATGCTGTATGACACTGGAGTTGTTTTTCATTCCACTGGTTCTCATTACTTTGCTCAAGAATCACAGGATGGGCTAGTGTTGGTGTGAGGGGGTGGTAACTAGAGAGAGGAGAAATGATCAGGGTATAGAGTGCTAGAGACTTGGCAGGGAGAAATAATGGAGCCTTTGTGGTGTTCTATTATTGATAAGGGGAGGAATGTTCTAGCCAACTTCAGAACCTGAGCTCCTGTGGTTCAGTAGCTGAGGCCTGGGGCTGGGGGATGGGTGGTGTAACAACTGCATGTATTCCAGCTATCCTAATCACCTTTCTTTTCCCCTTTTTCTTTTTTAAGGAATTTGACAAGAAATATAACCCTACCTGGCATTGTATCGTCGGCCGAAATTTTGGCAGCTACGTCACACACGAGACAAAGCACTTCATCTATTTTTACTTGGGTCAAGTTGCAATCCTCCTCTTCAAGTCAGGCTAGGTGGCCATGGTGAAGGTGTCAGTGGCGGCGGCAGCGATGGCAAGCAGGCGGCGTTGCTGGGACTGTTTTGCACTGGGGCCAGCATCAGGATGTCCTCTCCAATGGCTGTGCTACTGCATGGACTGTATACTCGATTTCATGTGTATGTCGCAGTAAACAAAACCAAACTTCTTTCTGTTTAGTTGCCTGGGGAAGAAGGCTGCTTTATGTTTATTTTTCAAGACTTAAAAAAATTTTGTTTGGTTGTATTGCACTAGGAAAATCTCTCCCACCCCCTCCTTTTTCTCTTTCTCTCCCTATACATAATATAAGGCCCTCAACAAAGCCTGAAAGACTAGGAGGGCTGAGGTAAAGAAATAGGTCTCTGGAGGTAGAACTAAAACTGCAGCTGCCTCTTCCTGGTGGTGGATGCTGCTTTAGGAGGGCCAGGAAGGCCATGAGGGGACAGTGTTAGGATTGGCAAGGAGAGAGGGATAGGAAGGAGGGTAGGGGGATTGATCTAGTACCAGGGAGAATATTCCACTGAACTGTGATTTACAGCTTGGGGCAAGGGATAGGGTGGGGGTGGATTCTTCAAGGGGCCCTGCGATGTTTTTGTGATGTGTGGGAGTGGGGAGCAGACTTGTCTTGCCGTCTTTGTCAGGATATCTAAGTAAGGGCTGTGTCTTTGTGGATTACCTTCTTTGATTCTTCTTGCCAGAGATTATGCTAGGAGGTTGTTGGGGATAGATTTAGCTTGACTTGTTTTCTTTTATATCTTTCTTCTCTTCTGTCTGCTCCCTGCTTAGGCCTCAGTTTTCTCATTCCTCTGGAGTTCTCTTAGAGCAGCCCCTATTAGTTGGCTGGCAGGGGAATTTCTGGTGACTGTAGTTCCTTAGTTAGGTCTTAGCAATCAAACCAAATCAATGTCTCCCTTGATTCTCCTTTATGTCAGTGTCTGTGTGTGTGTCTGTGTGTGTGTGTATGTGGGTTTGGGGTAGACGGGAGGGGGCAGGACAGGTGGAATCTCTAGGATGTGTGGGTAGGTAGGGGGCACAGTTAGTTCTAAGTGGGACTTTGTCATGTCTGTTGTGGGGGTGAAGACAGGCATCACTCCCCCTCAGTCATCTGGCTTAGAAACTCTGCTTGCCCTGTATGGTTGGCTGTCTGCTCCCTGAGAACGCTGAGGACCTCCTTGGACAAGAAGACCATGCTGCCATCTGTCCTGGAGCTGGGTCCCAGTGAAGGGGGAGAGTGACTGGATGGTTGCAGCCTCTAGTGGAAGGTGGGGATGGAAGTAATAAAGGGCAGAGAGGGGCTTCAGTGGAACTTTAAAGGAGGACAGTCTTGCAGTGATGAAGCCCCAGATATCAAGAGATGGAGTGGGGCTATGAGTAGGAGATTCCAGGGAGGATGCAGGGGAAATCTTGCTGTTGATGACCTAGGATTAGGGTCGGGTGGGGTTGTCATTGCTGATTGAGCTGCTGATTCTCATGAATCACATTTAAAACTCTCATCTGTAGGGTTGACATTGGGGTAGGGTGGGAGATCCAGCTCATTCTTTTTTTTCCCCCAGTCTTATTTTTGGGGATGTTGGGGAGGAAGGAGAATGCCCCCTCCCCAAGCCTGTAGTGTGTGCTGAGCTTTCTTTTTAATGCTAGCAGGGGAGGGTGGGAACTAGGGTGGTGACTGAGTTCCCTATTCATACCCTTCTGTGGGTACAAGATTGAGTGTTCGATTTTAGGATTTTTTTTTTTTTTTTTTTTTTTAATGAATGTCCAAATCTGTGGTTTTCCTTGCCCTCCCAGACTTTGTGTGGCCAGTTGGAAGTGTCTGGTTTGTGTTAATCTCTCCCTCATTTCTGGAGCAGGGACTGAGACCCTGCCACATCTCCTGTGCTCTGCATCCATGCCTCTTTTGGACATTAAAGGTCGATTGATGCACCTCTGAGCTGTTCGGGTTTCTTTGGAGGGTTAAAGGCTGGCCTGGTGGCATTGGTACCACACAGTGGGTGGAGGGTAGAGGTTACCTTGAGTGGAGTAGAACAAGAATGTGTTATCAAGGAAATAAACTGGGCAATGAACTATTGAGTATTGGAGGTAGTTAGATAGGATTCCTTCAGATAAGTTGGTTTGATGAATCTTGGGGAGAAGACAACCTCCTGGACCATGGAGTCCCAAGGAATTAAGACAACAGACAGACCAGGTATTTTTTAATTTTTTTATTTTTTTGGCAGTACCCTGGGGATTGAACTCAGGGCCTTAGACTTGCCAGAAGCAGATGCTCTACCACTTGAACTATGTCTTGCTTGGGACTGGGTATTGTACACACCTGTAATCTCAGCACTTAGGAGGCAGAAGCAGGAGGCTCATGAGTTAAAGGTTAGCTTGGGCTCTGCAATAAGTCCCCTCTCAAAAAAATAAGTGCAAGGCCCTGAGTTAATCCCTAGTACCACCAAAAAAACATTTCTCTACTGCCTTTGCTGGTGTGAGTAATTTGATAAAAGCTGGAAACTTAGGGGTAGGGGCAAAGACTAAGGATACAGTTCACACTTCATCTGTGATGATGGATGTCCTAGGACCAAACTCATTCACTTCTTGCACTAATGGAAGAGGCAATCCAGATGTCATCTGTAGATAACACATTCCTGCACAGGTAGGTACACGGCACTTACCTAAAGGCTGATGCTATAGGACTTCCTGAAGGAGACCAACCCCCACCTATGGGGCCCTGGAGAGGAAGATTTGAGGATGGATTGCAGAAGGGGCTGTGGAAGGCAGATGAGAATTGCAGAATTCATGTAGAAAAACATGGCCACTCACAACCGTGGCCAGGCAGAGTGGGTGTGGGAATGTCAATATCTCCACTGCTTTCTTACCCAGATCTCCAGGTTTCTGGGGCCTCCATTTAGCTGGAACCAACAAGGCAGATGACAAGGCTGACCCAGGGGTGCAATCTGTAGTAGTCAACCTTCCTCTCCCCAGAGAACAGCAAGGAAGAGAAGGATGGAGAATGAATCTAAGGGACCAGCATGGAAATTGTCTCTGCTACCATGGTGTTAGTCTCTGTCCACTGAACTCTAGTAGCCTCTAGCCTAGAACCAAGGTGGTGTGACTCATTTTTCCCTGACTTCCTTTAGGTCTTTGCTCAAATACCTTCTTATCAGAGAAGCCCTTGACATCCTGTATGAAATAGGGCCCCTCCCCCATCACTATTGACTTTATCCACTGCACCTTACCCACATAGCACCTGCCAACAATGCTTGACATATTTATTTGGTCATCCACAACTAGAAATGTGAGCTCCATGGGACCATTTTCTCTTCATTGCTTTATCTTCAAGTACACTAAGCAGCACCTGTCTTGTCCGAAGTACTTGATAAGTATTTATTGGTCAAATGAAAAAGCATGAGCAAGCCTGGGCAGCCCCCTTTTCCTGGGGGCCTTTCCTAAAGAGGCTTCTGTCTCTGTTTTGGTCCCTTTTGCTGCCCAAGTCCTTTGTGGTTCCTGCTGCCTGGTAAACAGTGAGAGGGGCTCCCTGAGTGTGTTGCTTGCCTTCTGTGGAAGAATGAAATGCATTTCACTTTTAAAGCATTTCAGTTTATGTTGCTGAAGCCTCAAGAGCACCTGTCTGAGCTTGACCTTGCAGGTATTAACCAGGTTTTGGGATGAGCAAACTGAATCGGGGTAAGTGATTTGCCAAGGCCCACGTGGCTGGCACTGAGCTTGGCCATTATTGGAGCTGAGCAGTATGGTTAAACTCAGAAGGGTTTAACGAGGGTGGATGGCAGGGGTCTCACTGGTACTCCATAAGACTTAGGTCTAGCTCTAAGTGAATCCTTGGTGCTCCTCTCCTGGGGCTCTGCTTTAGCAAGGGTAAGGAGGATAATATGTCTCTTCTCATTCCTTTCCTCTACCAAGGATTGTAGAGCTTCCCCTTCTGTCAGGCCTCATGAGAGGGATACTAAGTCTTCTAGTCTTCGAAGAGAGAGTACTTCCTGAGTTCTGATCTGTTAGGCCTCCCCTGAACTAAAGGCACAGCCTCCTTACCACCCTAGTAACAAGGAGTATTGCATATAAGCTGTTGAATAGGTCAGGTGTATCTGTATACATCTTTGTATATGGGCTTGGTGTCCACAATGATGCACATAAATACTCAGATTCACATACAGCTATGTGTCTGTATGGAGAGATTCCTGCTGCCTCTCCTTTCTTGCTTTGTCCAAACAAAGGTGTGCAGGGTTTGTGATGAGGCTGCGGGATAGTGCTGTCTTGGGCTTTCTACAGAGAGACCAAATATGCAGAGACAGTGTATTCGGAATACAGGATCTAGAATCAGAAGACCTGGGATTGAACCACAGCTCCGATATTTCACTGAACTTGGACAAGTTGCTTGAGCTCTTAGCCTCAATTCCATTACCTGTAAAGTGGAGATAAAATTGTGTCTTTCCTATAGGGTGGTTATAAGGATCAGATGACATTATGTATATGAAAGTGCTTTGAAATTGGAAAGGGATGATGATGATAATTAAATGAAGATGAAGATATATCTCTGAATCCCTAGAAATTTCACTGAAGTAGAAGTCTCCTGATATATTGTCAAATTAATTTCCTGCCCTGCGAAATGCAAATGTCTTAACAATATGTCTATGCTACCTTGTGTTCACTAGGGGTCTAATCAGCATAATGTCATCTGTGAATGGACCAGTGTGATATCTTATGGAAGGGAAAGGAGATGAAAGTCCCTGTGAACTAAATTATGGCATCAGGCTGGAGAGTTGTACTCCTGATGTAGGTCAGTGACAGCTGGAAACCAACTGTTTCTGATGATCTTTACCAGCAAGTATTGAGAAAAAGCATTTGTTAGATCAAAAGCTGTGTACAAATACCAAGGGATGTATGTTTTTTCGTTTGTACAGTATTGGGGTTTGAACTCAGGGCCTACACCTTAAGCCACTCCACCAGCCCTTTTGTGTGATGGGTTTTTTCAAGATAGGGCCTCACAAACTATTTGCCCCAGCTGGCTTCGAACCATGATCCTCCTGATCTCTGCCTCTGAGTAGCAAGGATTATAGGCATGAGCCACAGGCACCTAGCTCCAAGGGATGTATTGATAAGAGCTTCTTTCAGGTCAGGCCTAGAAGCTTCCTGGTCATTCATGTGGAGTTTGGGCTGAGAATTTGAAGCTCTCAG